TGCTGGACAGCTATATTTGGCACACATCTGTGATTATGAAATTACTTTTAAATTGCTTTTGAACTTCATCTGGACAGTGATTCACCCTTTCAATTTCCCTTCTCCTTCCAGAACATTCTCCATTAACAAACCAACCAGTTGTGATGTTTTACAATCTGCACTTGAACCTACTTCTCAAAACATGGCACACTTCCTTAAACGAGCAATTACTCAGCTCATTTGACAAAGATAAGGTCAGTCCTGGGACTGAAAGATGGAACAACAACCCGCTTTGACAACCATCTTTGAGATGTGGTGAGTTGCACTAGAGACTTGTTAAACTGCAACATCATGTTGCAGAAATGCAACATCAACAGGCAGCTTGAGTGTTTCTATACAAACAGATACTGTACAGCCTTGATCTGGTTGAGCTGAGCCCATTACTGGATTTACGCATATGCCTAAAGATGGAATGAATTACATGACTGAAGTTAAGATGTGCTTAAGTGGTTTGTTGTGTATGGGCCTACACACTACATCTGTGTTTGTATTAAGAGGAAAAGCTGTTCTACAAGACATTCAGGCATTTTAAAATGTATTTTTGTTCTGAACTGGAACAGGAAGTTTTACCCTGAAATGAAATTTAGGAAATCTTTAATTCCAGAAATCTTGTAATCGAGAGTACTTGAAACATTGTGTGTCGGTAATGTTGAAACGTTTTGTGACATTAAGATTGAAACATTGCATGTCCACATATGTTACTAAATTAATTAGAACCAACTGTCAACTAAGCATGCTGGGATTGCCTGAGTTGTGTATTACCCCACCCCCTGCATGCAGGAAGTGCTCTGGTCTGATCTTGCTTCTTGGCTGAGGTAATATGCTCCATGAACACCGTTGTTCAGCCTAGCACTAAACCAAGGATGTTCATCTGTTCATGATGTAGAGCTGGACCTACTAAACTCTGCTCAGCCCAAATGGCTTTATGTCGGGACATCTCAAGTGTCTTGGACGAGGTCTTTGTCATGAGTATTTCAAGGATGTAGGTTACAGACCCTGTGCTTGTGCTTGTAGGTGTTTTGGGTCTTCCTTAGATTATCAGTTGTATGTATCCAAGATGACTCCATGCTGTCCAGGAGACATGGTAGTTTGGGCACAGCACAAATGGATGACCCTCATTTACATCTGATGCCGTATGTGACAAGTGAGCCCCCCTGGACCTGAGAGCTGCAGCTCTGCAGCAGCCAATCTGGGTGCAGGACTGAGCTGCACCTACTTAAACTCAAGCTGCGTCTTTGCAGAAACTCTAAGGTTCCCTTCCCTGAGCTCCTCAAGCCTCTCCTGCCATAGATATCCCAGTACCTGGAGGATGCAGCCTGGCTGCAAACTTAGAAGGTAAAATGACCAAATAAAAGCTAAGCATGTTTTGGTAATTTCTTACTAACTGTTTTACCATAACTAATTTTAGTTTTCTTGAAAATGTTTCAGAGTTGTGGAGTCAACATTCACTATAAGGAGACGGGTGCAGTGGAAAAAATTAAAGCAGCTCTGTGAGTATATCACAAGAATGACAGTTTTACCAGACTGAATGTATTGTTTGCTCTGTCTGTCTCTAGATACAATGGCTGTTCAAAAGGGAGTAGATATCTGTCAGTAGTCCCTGAGAGGGGATCATACAACTAAATCTGTTTCCCCTGTTCTTCAAGTTACTGTCCCTCTTCTCAGTCTCATTGCCTGGTGGACCATATGGGGTTGATCCCTAGGCCAAGAGCTTCTCTCTGGGTGTGTGGGGTTAAGAAGACAAAGTTGTACTGAAGTCGTTGCTTTAGAAAAGTTTCTTTCTTTGGCCCAAGTATGTGTGGTGAAATTTATTTAGACAAATGTTTTAACTTAAATGGCTTTTTCTCCTTAAGTCTCTGGGTAGTTATGGCTTTGCTTTGATGTTCTGTTCTTTTCTTTTGGGGCTGAAATAAAAATCTAAGGTTGACAGCCTTTGTGTCTCTATCTGCTTCTGGGACAGCTGGCCACAGCAGAGAAGTTGTCCAATCCCATTTTTGAGAGCTGTTCTTTCATCCTTTAAAGGCTTCAACTTCAGCAAAACATAAACGAGTAAGCTTAGCTGGAGCCTGTGAATATCATCTCTTATGAAAGGCCCCTTTGCCCTAACTTGGCTTCTCTCTTACTCTTTCTGTAAGAAACTGTGGCAGCCCCTAGTACTCAACCAGCTGAATGCTTTGGATTCAGATATCAGTAAGAATAGGCGTGGGAACCTGATTTATATGTTTATAACAGACAATATGATTGTTTTCTCATTTAGCTGCAGTTACTACATGTACAGTTATATTTCTGTCTACAGAAGCAAAACGCCTTCACAGACGAGTACAAAAAGATGCGTGTGTTTTCCCAAGCCTGAACTCATGAGCTTGTATGTACTTTACTGTAATCTGACACTTATTGTAAGAAATATACTTTACATAATTGGCAGTGGCAGCTACATATTCTGAGAAAAAAAAGCATATTGAACTGTATGCTGTGTATCATCGATAATGATCTACAGCAGTATCTTCCATAAACGTAAAGGATAATTTAGCACTTGAAAGCCAGGCCTCAAAACCAAAATAAAATCCTTTTCTTTTTCTGTGCCTGGGCTAGGATTCATCTCACCTCAATGTAGACATCAGCACTGTAGACACATATGGTAGGACCCATCACCCCAAGCTCCCTTTGCAGTCAATACAGGGAACAGGCACTTTTAGGCCATGATTCATCTGACCTATTTACATGTCTGCTGTAGGAGGAGATGAATCACTGCCTAGACTAGATCTGTGCGGAGGATAAAGGGAGCCTAAGATGGCCAGCTCAGATGTAGATGCATATACAGATCTACAGTTTGAATTTAGACTTGCAGTTTGGAACAACAGTTTTGCAGAGAAGAGTTGAATTTCCCAAGCCACATTTTCCTAGCAGAATGTGTGTACGAATATATATATATATATATATATATATATATATATATATGTTTTTTTCTCCCTGCAACAGAAACATTTGCAACAATATCTTTTGAAAACTAGCCCTATATCCCCTTCTCCAAATGCTCCACCATCTGAAGAGCTGCCATTTTATCTCTCTCAGCCTCTGTCCCTCTTTCACACATACAGACATGTGTACACATGCTATGTTTCAGAGCTGGGCCTTTTGTATTTTCAACATTAATTCAAAATATACTCCTCTGCATGTGGTAGCCAGAGCTGTTATGTGTAGACAGATATATATGAACTGGTTTTGTTTTAACCCAAAGCAAAATATGGAAACCAATCCACCGAACGAACATTTCTGAAATTTGCTTCTGTTTAAAAATATCATTTTTTATTTTATATTTTCTGCTAGACTATGCTTTACTCTGCCTGCAGCCTTGGTGAGGTAGGACATTGTAGGAAGAGGAACATCAGTTTCTGGTAGACAAGTACTGATGCAGATGAAGGGAGAAGACAGACCTGATCATCTAAGAAAGGGTGCAAGATCCTGAGTGAAGCTCTGAGAAGACAAGAGAGGAAATGTTGTGTTATTATATATATAGAAGATCACAGTTGAAAGAGTCTGTTTTATGGGCAGTGAGGAAGATGTCTTCACAGGTACACTTGTACACATGCTGTAGTATAATGTCCCAGTGCATCTGAACACCTATCTAAACTGTTAATGGCATGAGCACAATACTTTAAAAAAGGAAGTCACCCTGTTGCAGAACTTTACAATGCTCAGCTGCTGCTGAGGAGTGCTTGATGTAGCTACAGTAGTGGTAGGCAAAATATCTCTTCCATCCAGCCGTTGGCACACAGCACAGCAACCCATTTATGTGAGCACCTGGTTGATCAGTTTGCTTGCGGCAGATCTTGGCACACCCTCTCCTCTGGCTGTACAGCTTTACTGACTCTTGTGGCTTCTGGGATTTTTTTTTCCCCACAAACTCTTGTCTGGCATGGGAGGACTTGGAACAGAGCAACACTGGCTCTGGCGACAACAGGAAACTGCATTTTGGATAACCCTACAGTGCAAGCTTTGCAGCCATTTAAGGGCTTTTCTGTGGGGATTGGGATGAAGGAATGTCCATCGTCCAAAGTCCACTGCAGTGGGAAGGGTGCCCATGACTGCAAAGGTCTTTGGCAAAGGCCACATGCATTTGAAGGCTGCCTCTAAGAAATGGGCATTGGCTCATGGTTCCCCACGGGCTACAGTGCAGTAGCAGCTTCAGGAAGAGAGATTGCTCTTTCACCGGTCATCTCGGTGCATCATTCATTAAATATAAGGCCCTACAGGAAAACCAGGGCTCTCTGTTCTCCGTGCCCCTCCTGCATCAGCCCTGACGTCAGTAGTTTCGAACCATGGAAGTTAAATTAAGGCCAGCACAGTCTAATAGGCAAGGGAGAGCAAGCGCTAAGAAGTCAAGGTAATGAGAAAATACCTGCCATCTGGAGCTGTCATAAGCATGAATTCACATCACTCCCTACAAAATAAAAAAATTGCAGCCTGTGGAACATCACCATCCCTGGATGCAAAACGCCGCTCCTGCTGCTACCGTCAAAAATTTTGGCCTCCCCACTTTCCGCGTGATCATCAGCTTCTGCTGAAGGCCCTGGAGAGATGTGCATGGGCACAGGGAGACATCTGCAACCGCTGGCTGTTTAAGTGCAAAGACTGTAATGGGATCTGTTCGGCTGCATCCGCTCGCTCCCTTTCTTACTCTGACGGAAAGTTTTCCTCCCGGCTCTGACAGCACTGCAGCCACTTGGGGAAGCACATGACTTCCTCGGAGACGGCATTTCTTATTTGTACTGCAGGCCTCCAACAGGCATGGCACTGAAGCAATATTTATATCAGTTTTTGTAACGTCGTCGCAGCAGCTGCAATTTTGGGAACTGAAGTGCTGGCTGGAAGTAGAGAAAGAGGCACAAAGCACACCATGCCACGGAAATCAGGGAAAAAAAAAAAAAAAAAAAAAAGAAAATCGGCAACCAGCCTCCTCCCCCAGTAGGCTCGTTGTGTTCCCGGGTGCCAGGGGTGCCGCTTGCCCTCCAGATGGTTACTGCAGGGCCCATCTGTGTAAAAGTGAGTCAATGGAAATTGCAGCTCAGGATGCCAGTGACAGGACCAGATTTGTCCCCACAGGGTGCTTGCACTGCTGGGGGAGCAGGACAGGGGAAGGGGAGTCCCCTGACTAGGTGGCTTTTCGTGCTGCATGCCTAACAGCGTGCTGTGGCAGGCGGGAGAGAGCTCAGGCCCTTTGACTATGAGACAGTGCAGTGCAACACTCGTGTGGATAGCGAGGCTGCCCCCAAACCCACTGAAGCCTGGTACCATGCCTCCACAATCAGCTCTAGCAGGCTCATTACCCCGGCTACAGTGCTGTGCTGGTGCAGCCATGCTGCTCCCAGGTCCTCAGCTGGAATCTCTGCCCCACACTATGCAGGTGCCCTGGCTTATGTGGAGCTACCTCGCTGTGGCTGGGAAATTCCCAAAAAGCTAAGGATGGGGGTCTTGTCTTCTGAGTGATTTACTTGCTGCTTCCCATTACAGGAATGTGATATGGTTTTCTCCTCTTCTGTCTCTTGGCTGGATTTCAGTGGTGTTAAGCCAGCAGAGGCTTGAGGATTCACTAATACTGTACACCTGGAAGTCACAGCTGGCTGAAAGACAGTGGAGTCATCTTCACCGTGTCTCCTCGCTCCTTCGTCTACCCTGCAATTGAGGCAACTAAGTACCCATGGTGGGTCCCATGTGTGTAAGAGGGGCTCTCCACTGGCCATGCATGTTCCAAATCGTGACTTGTACCTCTGCTACCAAACAGCAGCAGCTGACAGTACAGTGAGCCTGAACTTTTTTCTCCATGTAACTCCACTGGTCTGTGGAGTTATGTCTGACAGAGGAGGTGTCACACAGTCTCCAGTTACCTAAGAGCTTGGTGGAACTGAACAAAGTCGACATGGAGCTGAAATGCTTTCACCAGGTAATGCCCAGGAGCCTGGTTGTTAGGCGATGCACATTTTATCATGGACAAAATCGGGAGGACTTTTGCTCCAAGCATAGCTTTTTGGTACAAAATACCTTCACTCTCCTGAACTGCACAGGGTTTCAAGAAAAAGGTCCTTGCTGGTGGGCCACCAATGAGCTCTCCATGTCCCAGTGCCCGACAGCCCTCTGAAGGGATTGCTGTGAGGCAACCAGGCAGGGGGACCATTGCTGTGTCTGGCTGGCAGTACTCTGAAAACCCCCACCTGAAGTAGCATTGCAGGCAGCCTGAAGTAGAGACACCATTAAAGACTGACAGCATGGTGAGCATGGGTTCTTGGGTTGTGTCCCTCAGAAAATCCCCTCCAGTCTCTCATTTCATATACCCTTGTGCCATGAGCAGTTCTACTCCATCTCACTAAGAACTGGAACTTCAGTGCCCAAGCTGTTTCCTTAGCCTAAGCGCCCTGAAATGCCTCTGGTGAGCAGGGTTGGGGTAAGACAGGCAGGGAGAGGGAGGGAGTTAGCAAAGACGTGCCAGCAGCAGTGGCAGATCCTTGGAGTGGTGTGGGGAGGGCTTGGCAATCCCTTCAGCACTGTCCTATTGCAACAGAAGGGAGGAGGCTATACAGAGGTTACTTAAAAGCCCCCAACTTTTCCCAGGCTTCTATTGAACTTCAGAAATTCTGAAAGGGAGAAGAAAAAAAAAAAAGGCTATCTGAAAAGAAGGTACCATTGCTAACTAAAAAACTTCCTTTAAGTGCTTACTGCTATTAAATACTTGCTACATTTTGAATTGCTGTTTTCAGGAGCTTTGGGAAGAAGTTGTGTTCTCAGCCATGAATATTTTCTTAGAAGGATGGCATGACTTTTTTATTGCTACATGCTTACACTGAAATAGATGTGAAAGCAGTTTTGACTAGCTCAAAGAGAAGTCTCTGATCAGCCTACATCTGAGATTTCCCTTAAGAACGTTAGTGGGAGAGAAATAAGAGGATAAGTGCTTTTTTCTTTTTTATTTTCCTCTTCTACCCCCATCTTCCCCCCCCCCCCCCCCCCCCCCCCCCCCCCCCCCC